AAATGCCTGAATATCGTTATGACAATGGATTACATTTAAGGGCAGCTTTTGCCGGTAGTACGCGATGATTGATGTCAAATTATTTTCTTAAGAAATGTTCTACTGCAGAGCAGTTAACGTGAAATATCCATAACGTAAAGACAGGCTTACTAACAGGGACAGTTCTAAGAACGGCGACAGGGTATGAGCCCAGGACTTGTATGCTCTCAACGTCAGGTTTTATTAGCTGTTTGGCAACACAGCTTTACTTATGAGTGCTGAATAATTTCTAAATGACCGTTAATGACATCGGAGTTATTACTTTATTTCAAGTTCGGTAGATATGTCCCTGTTTGACTTGAAAAGTCCACTTGGCAAACATACGCTTTTGGCAATTCATCATCGGGCCTGTGCATTTGCGTTGATAATGAAAATATGACAGGCTTTGACAGGGTTTCTAGATATCTTATGAGAGAGAAAGATATCAGTATATAGAGGTCTTTGGACTGGGGGGAAGTAGAGTAGGCAGTGCGTATTGGTCACGGGTCGAGCACGCGGTGTGAAAATCCCAGTCACGTGCACGGAATGAACAACTGCAACCAGGTGGTGGAGGGCAACACGCGATCGTCACTTGGCGTCGCCGTCGGCCACGGAAGAGAGAGCTACTGTAGTAGCGTCTTCTGACAGCACAGCACTGGATTCACTTGCCGTATAGTTACTGCCTTGGCTGTTGATAGTTTCCGTTGGCGTATGTACTATGGTAAATTGGCTGGTATCCGGAAGAGTATCTGAAAGACTTCGTCAGGATCGGCTCGACAATTCGAATTGACAAGATGTGGGAGAATAGAAATCTAGCTCGATTTAGTTTCACTTTTACTATGCCAGGCCAGTATATGTTCACGTACCTTCTTTTCCGATTTTAACCACTTTCGATTTCATTGCATTTAGTGAGCGTAGTGGGTAATGTCTTTGAAAACTGTATTTTTTACATGGCGGTGCGTCGTAGATAGTAATTAGAACGCTAAAGTGTCCTGTATTGCCTCGTTAGCGTAAAATCTCAAAATATCTCGTGCGGCTTAACAAGTACATTAGAACTTGAAATTACACCTTTGTAATGGTACTTTAACTAGGTTAGAGTACATTAATTGCGTATTTTACTCGCAAACCAAGAGTAACGGAAGATTTATATGATTTTCTGTAAGTAAACCATAGAATTTAACCATAGAATTTAACTCATTGTAAAGTCACTGAAACTGAGATATTTTGACTCGATACCCACGACCTGCTTAATACAAAGTTTTCTGTTTGAGGTATCATCAAACGACCAGAAACGCTTAGAGGAGAAAATGGTAGCCAGAAGTAAAAGACGCAATCGCTGAAGCAAGAAGTTTATTGATCACATATTTCAGATTAGGTGAGGTCGATATTCTCGCAAAAATTGAAAACTGCTTGAACCGCGAGCTGTTTGTGTCCTTATCCCTCAGTCCTTTTGTAAGTAACAAGCAAAATAACCTCCCACCTTCATATCGTGTGCTTAGACTTTGCCTGATCAAAGTACTTAGCCAAATGAGTAAAATGTGCATATATGGCCCGGTATCCCACACTAAACCTTCTCGCTCGTGTAGTCCACAAGGGTTGCCGTGCGTGCTCATGTGCAGTTGTTGACTACCTCCCTGCCTCAAGCACTGTTCCGCGCCATCTCCTCGTCCACTTACATCTTTCCTGTCTAGACGTTTTCTTAGGTAATGGACTATTTCGTGCCCGCATTCAATGTATGCAGTATAGCGAGCGGAAGTCTAGTGTTATTGGCAAAAATGGGTTTGGTCGCCAAAATAAGATACCCCTAGCCCCATAATTGTCTTGGGGGACTGGTGGTAATAGGGGTTATATGGGTGAATCATATCGATTGGTAGAAAAAAGAAATTAGAAAAAAGCGTGTAAAAGTAGAAAGTAATAGGAATAATTATCATAATAACCCAATGTTTGGCGCGCCATAATAAGAGTCGGAAATACAACCAATAGGGAAGAATAACTGTCAAAATACTACCCGCTAATTAGATTCAGTGGAAAATCAGCTCT